CTCTCTCTCTCTCTCTCTCTCTCTCTCTCTCTCTCTCTCTCTCTCTCTCTCTCTCTCTCACACACACACACACACACACAAACACACACACACACTGGTCCCATGGCATAGCAGATGTCCACACAGCTCTGTGGTGATTTGCTGATTCATGTTCCCGGTCAAAACGACAGCAGCGTACCGCATGATTTGCAGGCATGATTGTCCGATAGCGAAAGAGATGCAGACGGGAGGGAGGGAGGGAGGCCGCCGGGTCCAGGAGGGAGAAGAGAGGAGAAACAGCAATTCCTCCCCGCAAAATTTATGCCCCTTCAATATTTTGTCCCGCTAACTACTTAGCCAGCGCACAATCATCGTGTGGTCATACGGCCTTGCTCCACCACTCAAAATTCAATACGTATCTGGACTGTGTTACACACCACATTCATTTTTGACCAATCGAAATATTTTTTGACATATTGGGACGATTTCCACCTCCCCACAACCATGTTCGATGTGCTGCATCAGAGCGAGAGGCCCATATTCACAGATTCAATCTCTCGTCGTAACCGTCTTCTCCCAAGTTCCCTACTCAATTGGCATCCAGACGAACTTTCGACTGAGCTTTCGACCGACACCGGCTCGCTGCACGCACGTTCGAGTCCCTCTTCCAGCGATAGCCAACCACACCAAAACCACTTCCCTCTCATCACTCCTAAACAAGCAGTTCTCTCACTCCCATGCCACCAGTTCCCCCAAATCTATCCCGCTCACTCTAAAACTCTGCAGACGGCAAATCCAACACGATCACCAATACCAACACTACTTGCACTAACAGGACGCTACGCTAGCAACGGCAACGAGGTCACCTACATATAACTCGTTATATCATATAACTCATTATATCCGACCGCAGAACGAAAGACAAAGAAACAAAGAAACAAAGCCTGTTGGTATTCAGACATGAATTGCCACATTTACCTGTCGCAAGGAGAGGCGGGAAGCACCTCAACACTCTCACATCGACATTCACTCTCTCATCGGATTGCCAGCTGTTGGTAATCAAACTATATACTTGTCCACATATTGGCTGACGGCAAGGCTGCCATTCCTCCCACGACTGAAAAGCCAGCATCAGCAACAGCAAAGGTGTTTCTTGCTAACAAGAGGTATAGTCTGGCTCACAGGGCAATCTACCTCCCTCCCTCCCTCCCTCCCTCCCTCCCTCCCTGCCTACCTACCTACCTACCTACCTACCTACCTACGTAAACCACCAGTACACGGCCCCAGCCTTGCAGTCCCAAACTTGTCGCCACAAGAAAACGAGCAAGGCCGGCCGAAATGTCAAACGCCGGCCCAGCCGTTGATAAATTAGATCGGCGGTCGCGGTTTCGTTTCGCGACTCCAGAATCTGAGGTGAGGTGTCGGGCCCGCGGCCCAGGTGTGCCCTTGTACTGGTGCTTTAACTAACCTGCTGCACTCTTGAGAACACCTTGAATGGCTTTGTTAAACCCAAGGACTGCAACTGGTTAAAAGTATACATTATTCCGCGGGTGAAAGAAAAAAAAAAAAAAAACGCCTTGCATAGTCACCGGTTGATGGCAGGCGCAGGCAGACTCCTAGCGTTCGGAGCATCATCCACCATCTACAATCAATCACCTGCTGATGCAGAGAGAGAGAAAAAAAGAGAAAAGAATTTCTTAATAACCCTCACCACCGTCCGTCTCTCTCGCTGAACTGCAACGAACTACCACAACCGTCCAACTTACTACGAAAATGTGAATATTCCTTGTCAGAGAGTACAAACCAAATTTCAAATTTCCCTCACCAAAACTAAGTGGAACACAAAAATGTGATGAGATAAGGGGAAAAAAAAAAAAAAAACCTCCACAGGGCCACAGCACTAGCCAAAATGACCCCACAGGGCGGCCCACACTCGGTTCCCTATCCCCTTTTCCATCCTTCACCCATTTTTACACCTTTTGCTAAACCCAGGAAAAAGAAAAAGAAAGTTAAGAAACAGAAAAAAGTGTTTAACAAAAGTTTCGCAAAAGAAAAAGAAAAAGAAAAAGAAACAGAAAAAAAAGTTACGGTGCGCAGTTATTCCTTATTTCGACAACAGTTATAACTTCATTCCCCACACTTTGTGACTGCAGATGATGCCGAGCTGACCAGAGAGAGACAGACAGAAGCATCGTCTCCACCTGACGTAAACGATAAACTCCCGCCGTCAGTTATTCACACGCTGCCCAAAATGTTAGTTCCCTAAGATCTTACATGACGTGTTTCTTCGACATGATCCAGAACAGTCGCCCACCGGGCAAACGAAAGTCCTATTCATTAACTCGCCCTGGGATGCAGAAAAAAAAAAAGAAAAAAAAGAAAAGCTTCTTCCCTCCTCTCAGCCATCCGCAACTCCATTCTCCCATCCTCCTACCATTCTCCCATCCTTCCAGTCTACAGCCCGTACCTTCAGGCAACAGAGTCAGCTCATGATTGCCGCACCGCCAACTCCCTAGCATTGACGAAACACCCAACAAATGAAGACTGAAAATAGCTTAATCAAAAGCCAGCTCCTCCAAATGAATGAACACTAAAAATAGCCGAATCCACCTTTCCTCCGAAATGACCTGTTCCTCCGGCGCCTGTAGGTAGGTAGGGATGATTCCGGCACCGCCACCTCCCTAGCATTGACGAAACACCCAACATTTGTTTCACTTCTTGTGCACACTTGCACATCCGCAACTACCCACCGCCATATTCGTCATTAACCAAAACCCCAAAAGAACCCTGCTCCTTTAGCAGGCCTGTGTGGGCCATGAGAGATCACGCTGAGACACGAACAGCACAGAATGGCGAAACAGAATGAATGAGTGTAGAACGCACATTACTCACCTTCCTCTACACGAACTCAACCCTCGAAAACTACGCTCCCCTTCATCCTTCCAGGCTAGACCATATAAGTCGTCTCACCGAGCTCATGTTTTTTTTTACCTCCACCTCCCATCCTCCTTCACGATGGCGGGGCAGAATTGCCGCAGATTCAGTAATCGATACAAAAGCCAAAGCTTCTCCGCTTCTCGGTCACACATGCATCCTTTCCAATGCACAGTCGCCACTGACCCAACCCTCAATANCTCCGCTTCTCGGTCACACATGCATCCTTTCCAATGCACAGTCGCCACTGACCCAACCCTCAATAAACCTTGGGTCCTTAGGAAGGTTTGTGGCACGCAACGACGGCAAAGCAGAACGTAGCGCACAGCATCCGCCTTCACCAGCATGCACCCGTGTATAAAAATCTTTACTTCCCCTACACCCAGCAGCACACATATCGACCGCAGAAGCACACACGCAGATATCCTCCGCACCCTTGGCTTCATGAAAGCATACCATTGCAGCTAATGCATGAATGACAATATCTACGCATGCAAGTCGGATGCAGCCCGAGGCAAATTGCACCCACACACACACACACACACACACACACACACACACACACACATCATCGCACACATCATCGCACGCACGCACACACACACACACACACACACACACACACATCCACACACCCTATACAAACACACACAGGGCAAAGAAAATTGCTTCATCACTTCGAGACACGTTATCCATCAGTCTAATGCATTCTGGGCAGACTATCAAGTTTCAACCTCCTGATGAGTCGGTGAAAGTCCGGCAAAACAACCTGCCACAGTCACGGTATTTTTGTGAGTTGTACCATGGCGAACTTAACAAAACAAACACACACACACACACACACACACACACACACACACACACACACACACACACACAGGACAGCGAGAATGGTTTCACAGCCATGAAGGAAAGGACATGTCATGACCCCTGAATATGAAAAGATCACACACACACACACACACACACACACACACACACACACACACACACACACACACACGCACGTACATATGCACAGACAGACACCAGAATGGGCGTTCCAAAGACAACATGAAAACAATAACATTTTGTAAAACCACACATGTACGATTCTCATCAAAACTGTCTGAGCTTCATACCGTGGGCGTTATTTTAAATCCCTGGGCATCCAACGCACACCCATCTTGTGACGCCACAAGACGTACTAAACATGTCCTTCAGCATCCCCACAAGATTCACAAGGATATGCAAGACCAAGCATCCTCTGCACATAATCGATAGACTCTGGCGCGCGAAGTAAACCGCCTGCACACACCATTGCACAGCAGCTACATACCCTCGGATGCATCCTGTTCGCCCCTTCAGGATTGTGGCAGCACCCATACAACCCTGTGTACTCAATACGACCAACAGTCCATGCGATGAACCATGTGTTCGCACCTCGTGCTGTGGATAGAAGCCCCCACGCCCACTAGCCAGTCAACGTGTGCGTACAAGAAATACAATCCATGAAGGCACTCATCCCGCAAGCAACGACGGGCTTCGAACGTCAACCGTCATCATCTATGTCGACCGATATTGAATGCGTGCGAAGGGCTGGACCTGAACCCCTACCCCCTACCCTACCCTCTTCAGTGTCAAAGGGGAAGCTGATCTTGCTCCACGAAGGGCAAAGAACCAGTGCCCGTTAAAGAGTTGTCCCACGGTTAATCGTTATAGGCCATTGCACCGGAAGGACGGTAGAAATCTTCTCCTCCCTCATGACCTACCTTCTCCATCACACGAAGCTACCTTCTCCATCACACGAAGATACCCACTTATTGAGAGAAACAGCGGTACTCTAGAGTAGATGTGGATAAGCGAGAAGGGTTTTCAAAGAAGCAAACGGACGGGCCTGAGGCGTGTTCCCCGGCCGGCCATTAATTAATGAAAACTCAATTGGATGTTAAAAGTTGCGGAGTCAACGGCTAAGTGCACTCTGGAACATGAATGTGGTAGGCCAGCAAACTCCGGGAGACATCACGGTCACCGGATGACGACAACCCCGTGATCACCACCATTCTTTCCGCAAATCGGGCACGGCACCATGAAGCGGCGGTCGCCAT